TGTTATAAAAAGCTTGTCTTTTTCAGTTCCTGCTTGGCTTTACATTTACTGTAGACAATAAAATGGATTCAGGACCTAAGGGTCACCCCAGGCCGGCACAGTGTGTGGTATCGCGTGGCTCTCTCGCTCTGTCATGGTTCCTGCTGGTGGGGCACAGTAGCAAGGGAAGCTGCTGATCTGACTTACTGAGATGGGAAACCACATTCCAATTCTTTTGTTATAACTCCAGGTCCTTTGTGGGGCGCGTAATTGTAAACAATCCGTCCCACGTGTAGCGTCTCTGATATCCTCTGCCACATGACAGCTAAAATTGTACAAGAAAGAACATATGTAAGCGGGCTTTTGGAGGCAGAGCCCATCTTGCCTTTGTCATGCCACCAGCATGTGATGTGCACATGGCCAGGGGCTGTGGSTATCAGCAGCAGAGGTGAGCTCATCTGTGTTTTCAAGGGAAATCCATCGGTTGCGTTGCACCGATAAGGAATGAGGACAACAAAAACATGTCTAATTAAAAGAGCCATCAGTGTTTGCTGTCACAAGTTACAAGTAGCCATAACTTTGCTTCGGGTGCACTGGCATAATCCTCATAATCCTTCTTCTACAAAGGTACTTTCTCCAGTGTTTTTCCTGCAGTGCCCAGGCAAGTTTTTGTAATATATGCGAAGATACGGTATGTTTATGCATGTATGAATKGTTGTTTTCCTGTCTGTTCTCCACAAGGGAAGGGGTGGGCGTGMTGGAGTCTGTAGAGATCAGGAAGCTTCAGTGACATCCTCTGACTGCTCTGTGTGATACAATTTTCTGTCTCTCCCCAGCAAACAGCAGCAAACTTGGCAATTTATAGTAATACTGAACTTACTCTGTGGCCACAAACGGCAGGCAGGTTACTGAAAGATAAAACAGACTCAGAAGAGAGCCTCAGCAGGCTGCTGCCAATATATCTGATTTTCTCGAGTATCAAATATTTGCAATAGACTGTGGCAGGAGGAGACTTAYCAAAAGCAAAGAGAACCTTTTTCATCTGAAGAGCTGCTGTGGAGGGGAGGCAATGGGTTAAGTATTACAAGAGTTTAAGCTGACAGCCAGCCCTTGTGCTCTGCTGCTTCGCAGAGGTTTCCCTTTGATGGAAAATATTTCAGTGACACAAGACACTGGCAGCTGAGGTAATACACTGCTGCTGCAGGAACCTTGTGCTTGCCAGGGAAAGTCAATGGGTGAGACAGTTCTGAGAACAGCAGTGGCTGGCTTCTGTCCCTCCTCATGAATTGCTCGTGTGAAAGTGCCTGCTGCAGGACTGGTGGGGTGGATTGCTCTGGGAAATGCACCAGATGAGGACTATTTGGGATTATTTACCTGTTGCTACAATGAAGAGCCTTTCTGAGGCATGACAAACACTCCCCTATGTTATTCACTATGGACAGGAGCACCAGGACAATGTTTATGGATCATTTCAGCCAAAACTTGAGCCTTCAGAGCAGATGTTTCACTGCCTTCCCCACTGATTTTTGGATGCATTCAATCTATGTATGGGTGTATTGTGGCTTAATGCATGAATTGTCAGGAGACAACACTCAAAACCTGTAGCACCAKTTCCATTTCATGGGACCAACCAAACTTGTCACCTTGTCAACGACATCCTTTGTTGTAAGAGTGGTTTTTTTGTACTGTTCAAAATGTTTATTATGGCTCACCAGAGCACACTGAGGTCYAGAGCCACAAAACTGAGCCATAAACCTGAAAGTTGTGCCAACTACCTTTTGTAAATTGTGAGCCTGTGCTGTTTGAGCAGTGTAAGGAWCATTGCTGGCAGTACAGGAACACGAGCACACACAGTTCACCCTTGGTGCTCCGGTATATTTAGGCACACTAAGGATTTGGAGTGGAATTTGGAGTGGATGTAAGGCTTTTTTTCCTCACAATAATATCTCATTAATTAAAAAAGAAATCMACAGATAAACTTCTTTCAATCCGAAAAGAGGAGATTAAATTATTGGTAGGCAAACCAACAGACTGGAAATTTTTGGTAGAAAAGACTACATTCACTAAAATCACTGCAATGTTTTGAAGCAGTTGAGCCAGCTTTCCTCTTTCTATTGAATTCCAGTATTTAGTGGCTTGGAGGAACCACTACAGTCCAGCCATGTGAATTCAGAAGCCATTTTATTTGGAGAGTATAATCAGTGTTTTAGTTGTTGCTTCACAATATTACTTGTGGAAAAAGACTTGCAGAAGAAACAAGAGAGTAAAAACATTATTTAAAAAAAAAAAAAGTTCTCAGATTACTTAACACACCCTGTTTCAGGAGTTTCAGAGATGGGTTTTAAGTAGAGATGGCCTTATTTAAAATACATCCAGATTACATGTATCACAGAAATTAAAGGTTTTTTTTTTTTATCTGAGGTTATGATATTCTAAAGAAAAAGACTAYTTGTACTATTTAGATTTGGACACAGTTTGGAATATGCATGAATATTTGAATCTAGGCTTACAAGCAGGGTAAGGCAGCCATGGAAGGGAGTCGTGGATCAGGCCCTTCATTTCCAGGCATTTCGGAGCATTGCTTTTCSTCAGAGAGAGACAGAGAGAGTAAGCTGGCATTCAGCCCTTAGTCTTCATTCAAACCAAATTCCAGTTGCAATATTGCCAACTCTAAGTGTTAAAAATCAGGAGAATTTTAAAAAAAAATTTGTATATTTCTGTTTGCCGTCTGGTGTTTGAGACTTAATATGGGTTATGTTTCCAGGTTTTTCTCTGCAACCAGAAGAGACTGAAACTGRGGGTAAGAAGTTGAGGACAGAATGAGATTCTCACAAAATATTTGACTCCAAAATCAGTGCTTGAATYGAAATCCCAAATATTAGGAGATCCACACTATAAAATTCTGTGAGTCARAACACATTACCATAAACTTGTGGGAATTTTATTGAATAACGATTGTGTAAGGACACAAAGAATAATTTTGTTATATTCCATATTTCTGAGCATACTCTCAATGAGAATTTAATTTATTTTTTTTTTAATAATTAGAAGCTCCAAAAAGAGCTTTTATTTACTCATCTGGCCTTTATAGAGACCTGTCAGCAAATACACAAGATTTCAATGTTCCTGCTACATTGGGTTTTCTGTATGCCACATGCCTGTCCCCTGGACAAGAAGAAGCAAGGATAAATCAGGACATTTGTTATAGCCTGAGAACCCATTCAGCCCAAATCTCCCAATACAYAAACAACACCAGGTCCAAACATCTTGTCACATCTGCTTTGTACACCAAACAGCTGGGTGCACAGATGCTTTGGTCGGCTGGAGCATCTTAGACTGAGTGCATTCTTCTGTGTGCTTAGTTATTTGTTTTAATTGGGTTTGATGATCTGACTTAAATTGCTTCTGACCTAGCTGGAGCACAGGTACTTTTGAGGCTGATTGTGACAGCTGCCACGAGCGTATGAGAGGCAACATTGGTAACCTGAAACTTCTGGGTGAGAGATCACCACGAGCAGGCCCTGAGTTTAAGGACAAGGACTCCAGGAGCAGGGGCGCTGCTTTCTGGGATAGAAAAGGCACTCCATCACTTGTAATGAGGCCCTGCCCCTGGAAAACGGTGGAAAACCACACTTCAAAACACACAAACTGATTCTGGCTATGGAAGTGGAAGTTAAACTCCTAAATAATGCAACTCTGTGTATAAATTATGCATAGATGAAACATATTTACATATATACATACACACATATATATATACAGATATATACTTTACATGCACACGTATTTATAATGAGTGATCGAGCATCTTGTTTTTTCCCTGCCCTTCCTCCCTAAACCCATTCTGTTATGCTACCATGCCAGTTTTCTCTTAAAGCTGTTTGAAGGCAGAATTGGTTTTCTCTCATCCACATTTAAACAGCCATAATGCCAATGAGGACCGTAAGTAATAGAGAGCATTTATCCTGAAAGGAGATATGCCCAGTGGCTCAGTGATTCCCTACCCTATTCAATCTTTTCATGATCCATTTCAGACTGGAAATCTGGCCATTGGAAAGAGCCCTCTTGCAAACTGCACCTCCCCAAGCACYTGGCATGTGTGTCGGTGCTCCCACTGGAAGTACTGAACCAGTCTAATGTTCCTCAACTAACAAAAGCAGAAACAATCACAGAGCTAGATAGTCTGGCTTCTGGCCAACTTTAATTAATTAAGTTCTACCAAGCATCACACACTTACCTCTAGAAAAATTTCAGTTCACATTAAAGGAAAATCTTGTGGGGAAATGAACAACCAAATCCCTGTTAGTACCTAATCCCAGTGTCTTCTATTGCTGGACAATACCCTTTCAGGGTATTGTCCAGCAATACCCTGTGCCATTTCCACCTCAGGCTGCTCCCACATGGTGCTGAGCCCACTCCCTCCATCCCATATTTGTTTTCTCTATCCCTTTGGGAAGCTCCATGCTTGAGGACATACCACACATGTCCTTCATGCCGCAAGCATTTACAGAGAAATGACCCAGCTGTCACAGACCTTTGCAAGTTTTCTAGCAAGCTCCATAAACATGTGGAGAGTTCTTTGTTCATTTGGTGTGTTTAATTTAAAACCTACAAAACAAAGAAGGGGTAGTGCTGGTAGGAGAGGATTTTTCCCCAACTGGCAGACCAGGGAAAGTGCTTTGTGCCTATTGCTAGTAAACAGGCAGGAGGGAATCCTGTCCTTGGTGTCACCGCCAGGACATCGGCTCACCTCTGGTCATTCTAGATGTACCCTGACATTTGCTAAGTCAGACTCCTCTCGTGTCTCTGASCACCATCCACGAGGCACCAAATTACACACTTGTCTCCCCTGGGAACACCTCCCTGTCATCAGTCCTGTGCCACAGCAACACTGCATCACGAGTCACTTAAGATTAATTGCAATTGCTCCACGTTTACTGAACCTTGAAGGATCAGATATCGCTCCTCCTCCTCCTCTTGCCTTGCTRTGATAGGGAATTCACACCTTCTGAGTCCAGCACAGTTATCTGATATCCTTTGAAGTTACCTGCTGTTATTTATAAATTTTGACATCTTTGTAACCYAAGTTTAGCTTTGACTAAATTTTTCATTAAATATCATTTTCATGGTCTCTAATCCAAACCATGGGCAAAAAAAGTCCATCTTGTTTCATTCAGTGCCAGAGCTTGTACAAGTGAAATGAGCACGATATTGTCCCTCGATGTAAATGTTGGAAAACTACCTTTGTGTTCAGCACTGTTTGTATATTTTTTTTTAAACATCAGTGCAACCAGTTAATTGTCGAGCCCACCATGCACCAGGAGC